AGCAGAATACGATCATATGTGTTTCGTCTTGATATTTGCTCAGGGGATTAAGTTACGATCATTCCTGTTAATCTCCTAAACATAGAGTTTTTTTGCGGGATTGGCTGTTTCTCGGTGTTCCTTTTATCTATATTTCTGATCTTTTCACTATTGCTTTATAAGATAATCTTTGAGAATGCGTCTCAAAATTTTTATGTGCCCCATAGTTCTGGAGATAAAGCCTGTTGAACTTTATGGACTAAATTTTACGAACGTCTTCCTGTTCCCAAGGCCGTAACTCAACGTCAACGGCTCACATAAACGTCCATGAGACATCATATTTTAGCCAATTTTGTGGCGAATAGATTGTGTAATTTATACATCGTTAGCTTAGAGAAAAGTGTTGAAAAATGACATCTTCAATAGTTATAATAGTCAAAAAATTAGTTTCCGTAAAAACTCAATAAAACATTTTTTTCGAATTTGGCCACAGATAAACAGCTAATTAATGACAAAATGTCGACCATTTCGATCATACTTTGTAAATATACAAGTATCTGATATGCGTGGAATGTTAGATCGTGAAAAATTGGTTGATTGTTTCCTAAAACGTGACAAAACTTAGCAGTTACATCAAAAGTGGGTGCTAACTAGAGCAAGATGGCGTACCGCGCAAAGTCCCTTTGTTATGTTGAACATCGTCAACAGTACAATCGGTTCTCTAAACATAGGGCGGGCCTTCATGACAGCATATATTTACTTACGGGATATACATGCCTTCAAGTACAGATATGTTTGAATTACTCTCAGCCTATGGAGAGTGTACCATTATCGGATTTGTTATAATCAGTTAGCTCTAAGTCAGCACTACCGGATTCGGCCGATACGCCGCCCGGGCGATCTTATGGAGGATTTGATTTTTTTTTAGAAAAATGTGGACCAAAAGATCGTCTGGGCGATGTTATGGCAGATATTACGAAGCCCATCTTGTCTGAAAAAATAACCCTGCGCTGATAAAAATGGTCTCAGAAAATGTTTAGAAAAAACATAATGTTTTGCGCTGACCAAATATAATCATTCAAAGTATAAATTCAAAGTGTTTTAATACGTTGGTGAGAGGTCGCATTTTACGTGAACAAGAACATGCACTAAGCAGGAAAAACAAGCCAAAGTCGAAACGGGGTGCATCATAGACATGACATGAACACACACACGATGCACACTGAGTGATCAGTGACATCATTTTGGG